TTTTTTGTATCCTCCGTTCGCGCCGTTTATCGCTCTTTTCCGACGGCAAACGATACGCTGAACCGTCCGGACACAATTATTAAATATCGTTTGTTCCCGTTCACCCAGTAAACAATACTATATCGCCGGCCGAGTCCAAACGTCGTCGATTCACTATCATTTACTATCGTCGTTATCGTTATCGTGTAGTGGTGGAGGTAGTGCCCATCGTGGGGATAAAAATCGACTGTACCGTACGCACATCACAATAATATTGTTCGTGATTTAATTTTTAAGCAYCCACTCGGCGTGATACTCGTCATGTGTTTTGTTCGTTGAGCCCGATATTTAATTCGACTCTGACAACGTGAAAACGCCACAACGGCTGGTGCGACCCACTGCTTCTGCTGCTACGACGACTACTGCTAGCTGGTACCCGCCATCGATGTCCAGCCCCGTGGTGGTGGCTTTTCGACAGACTGCAAATCGGCGGTCCACTCGACACAGCGATGTCGTCGGTCTGTTGTTCGATTAGAATAGTGTTGTCATCATATCGCACTGCTGCTGTGCTCAAGACGCTGGTGATGTGACTGCGTCACAATGAAAGTCACCGTCTGCTTTGGTTCAACTAGGGTCGTCGTCCCCTGTGGACGTGGAGAAATATTGGTCAGAGACCTAATTCAGCAAGCCATCACTAGATACAAGAAAGCCACTGGAAAGGTGAGTCCTGCAATATTTACATTAATGTTATCGCAATAGAATAGTCACCAACAGTCACTTTTATGTTTACATATGGATAGATGCCTACATATGTTTAGAAGGTTTTAAGACCATTGTGAATATCAATGTTCTTCAAGTGTTTCTATTTGTAATCAAACATGCTTTATAACTGCCAAATCTATAGATTTGACCAATTTAACATTAATAATGTTATGCCAGAAAACAAAGTTTGGACAACTTGATATACAGTCATTTAGGTAGGTATCTAGTTATGTCTGCTCTCCTGTCATTATTAGAGTACCTACCTATTTAAATAAATTCTGAAAGATAACGTTTACCAAGATTTCTGTTGTTACAATATTATACATAACTTACCTATAGATAGATAGGTAGGTTAAATTAAGGAAAATGAAGATATCTATCCATCTAATAAGCATGATGCATTATTGAACATTAATTATAGGTATATTGAATTAGAGTGATGCGTTTTTTTAACTGATAAGTCGTCATACAGCTTGTAGATAGGTACCTATAATAGATATGTACATAGATAAACATTTGTCTTAAACAAGATAAAATGCTTAGAGAATGATGTAAAATGTAATTTTATGTTAACTTCCATAATGTAGATATATAGAATATTATAGGCATTAACTAAGTATGTTTACATAATATATTTAAAAGCAAAAAGTCCTTGGAAATTTTCATTTATTTTAGTAGGTGTAATTACTTGTAATTACATTACAAGTCAGAATAGCTCCATAGTGATGGCTATGTGTCATTATTAAGTATACTTGATTAAATATAATTTAGATATTTTTCAACATTTATAAGGTAGGTACCCCTACCTTTCCTTAAATTCTTACTCCCGACCAACCTAATTTAAAATAAATGCCTACCCAGATAGGTATTCATAAAAATACTATCTTACAATTTGAACCTACAACTTGGTTACATATGATAGATGGCTTAATATTCCCTCTCACTTAAGTTACTACCTATTTAGTGCCTACCATTACGCTTTTTTTTCAAGCTACATACACAAGTCATTGGCCATTGGGAATAGTTACTACTGGAGTTGGCTCTTATCACCAATGTATCAAACACAATTCACAATAGTCTAACATCTACTATGCTTAAATACCTATAATAAGTTCCTTTGTTAACTCGTTTGTTAATTATTTAATTGTGTACCTCTATTGCATCAAGGAGTTTATTCAATTTAGGACATAAAGTTACATATCATGAAATTTATTAATTTAATAATTCACTAAAATTTAATGGACCAATTCTTGAATAAATTATGACTAACTACCTACAATGATATAGTTTAAGATTGGATTAAGAGCTCATTATCTCACTATTGATTCATTAAATGTTTACCTAGCTATGGTTTGTTTTTTTTTTTTWAAATTAATTTATTAACTGCATACCGAGCTACATGCCTAATTTTCCAACAGTTTTTTAAATCATTGCTTTTAAATAATGGATTGTAGTCTTCAGCAGTTCTGCAAGCATTGTGTAATGTTTCTACCAGATTTTAGAGTTACTACCTACCATACTATATAGGTTGATAGGTATGTTTATATACATTTAAAATTCAATAAAATAAATAAATGTTGTTGATTGCCTAGTATCATTATAGATTTTTAAATAATACCTACCTACTATTTTATATTTTGTATTATTATTTATTAATTATGTACTCGAATACTATATATTTGACATTTCAATAATAAAACCCAATAAATGATTAATAGGTAGGTACTGAAAAAATCTATAATGCAATTTTTGATTCATTTTTTCATGTCTTAATTACTATTTAACCTAAAATTAAATAACGATAAGATACTAGATAAACTCTTACAAAATTTTAATCCACTATTTTTAATTTATGATTGTTATTCTAGGAATGTATAAAAATAGTACCTACCAAAACATCTGTTTTTATAAACTATAAATGGTAGTTTACAAGCTGAGTATGATAGTCATATAAGATTATGGTGTAGGAAAACATCAAGTGCAGTGTATCAAGGATTTTGACATGGATACTGATATAGTAGTAGTTGAAATACCCGTTGAAGTATTACTCATCTAAAGTATTATATTGTTTAGTTCTTATCTACTCATTATTTGTACCATATTATTTACTTAATTATTACTCATAATATCTAAATGTATACCTAGATGTATAATTCTGTCAATAATCAAGGCATATAATAAAAAATAAATTTGAGCATTTAAAAAAAAAAAAAATGATATTACCTATGTGATAGTTTTGCTCGAGGTTTTGCTTAAAATATAATAATAAATACCTTGTGTAATTTTTAAAAATGGTAATCGGAATAAAAATCCCCGTCCCTCAGAAAATATCTCCAGAGAACTACCTCTTATATTACTCATAACCTCATGAAAATTATTTTTACATTGAATTACAAATAGGTAGGTATATTATATATTATTATTATTATTTAAAAAATGTATGTWTTATATAATACTATAAATAATTTTTAATAAATATATCAAATGATCGAATCAATATGATTTAAAATATAGGCGGGTTATAATAATTAATAATTCATCTATACCCACAGTAGATGTTTGACTGTTAAAAAAATAGTATCTAAAAATATTTTTATATTTATAGTCAGTTATTGCATTTAAGTTAAATATTTATATTTATATTGAACATTTGAAGTTATAATATTTTATTTCCGGGTACTATGTATATTAATTTTTTGAATAATAAGTATAATATGTAATATACCTACCTATTTGTAAAAAGCATTTATATAAATAATTTTCATGTATGTACCTGATTATGGAATCTGGGGATTTTTTTTTCTGAGTCATTCGTCGGGGGATTATTTTCCTGGGGATTTTTATCCCGGGGTTCTTTCAAAATACCTATCTAGCTGTCTACATTTATTTACATTTGTGTATAGTACCAAAATATTGTCATCTATTTTGTTATATCTACTTACTAAAACATTTTTACTCATATATTATCTATAGATATTGATTATGATTTTTGGCCCTCGCCTATATTATAACTCAGATTATAACTATATTTTTAAATTATTTAGTATTTTAACCAGAATTTAGATTATTATAATGGTATTATTAGGAATTATTTTAAGTATTATTTGGGGAGTGTGATTAAATATATTGATATTCTATTAAAATATTTTATTGGTACTAGTGTTATGTTAGAACATGTTTATATAAACAAGAATTAGAACTCTTTTATTGTAGATATAATATTGATAATACATTGTAGTAAGTACCTATATACTTTAGCTTATAGCTTAGCTATAAATCCAAGAATATTTATAGCCCAATTTACTTTATAGGTAGGTATTTCTTATTTATTCATACAACTATACATAGTCTAGTAAATACAAAATACAGTTACACATATTATTACCTATTTAAACAAAATATTTTAATCGTCTATGCAAGTTTTTAGAGAGAATTATCTTTGTCCTACTTAATGCTCAATTCTACTACCTAAGCACCTATTGTATATTTTTATTATGAGGTACAGCCGGTACAGGTTGTACAAGCATAGGTATATCTGAAAGCAATGACAAATCATGAAAAACAAGAGCTCAGAAATAGTATAATTAACAAAATATCATGACTCAAATATTTATAATAATTAGGACTTTAATAAAAATAAAAAACACAATATTATTTATTAATGATAAAATACATACAATACAGATAAATTAATTAACATGTTGTGTTTAGCTCCAGAGGCGTTAATAAAACAAAGAATGTATGTTTAGTGTATACAAACTATACAAATAACAGTATTTCAAATAAAATCCAGATAAATTGAGAGATAAATATTTACATATTTACTAAAATGTCAGGGCGTTACTATAATTTTAATTCCCGTTTTAATTTATTATTTTTTTACATTAAGGTAGGTAAAATAAAATAATCATAATTTTTAAAATGTAAACTTTAATAAAGAAAATTATAAATAGGTAAGTATTTGTTAAAAATTGTTTTAGATTAAGTTTTTTACTACGATAATAAATTGTTGACACATGACACCAAAGTTGGTATCTAATTATAAAGGTATAGATGTATATTTTAAAGTTTTCAAACGGGTCATGTTAACTTGCTGCAATTTTTTAAGTCGTCAAAAATGTTTTAAATGTCCAACACGTTTATTTAATTCTTTAGAATTATCAATTATTGTTAGTGGCTAGAAGATTATATGATATAAGTTCCATCCTATTACTTAATTAAATAGATTGTTTTAGTTTTTTTTTTCTAAATTTTCACGAAAAGCCCACAAAATATATATTTAATGTAGGTATATAACATATTATTGTCGGTGATCTGTTTACAGTCAAGGGGATATTAACCTTCAAGTTATCAAAATCCATAGTAGGTCTTCACTCTTCTGTTTATATGTGCTTTCTGTAGTCTGAAGTGATTTTTCTATAGAGTATTTATTCAACTTTTTAAGGCAATTCTTTCGTTCCTTGCGGTCGCTTGAAGTCTCCGCGCGCGCGCGCGCGCGCGCGAGTGTGTGTGTGTATGTGTATAAATAATAATCATTCATCATATATGCTCCCCACCAATAACCGGTATCAAATATAATACATTATTATTTATTACTTATCCGCGTGTACATTTCATTTACTCATTAGATAAAAATATTCAAAATCAATTTACCGACTTACCGATGTGAAGTAGCAATGCTATAATATGCCTGTCGCCTAACAAAAATATAAGTACTTCCAAAGGTCCAATTTAAAAATATGTAAAAATGTTTCAATGCTTAAATATCAAATATGATTACTTTGCATCATTCAAAGCACTTTTTAAATTTTATCAAATTTTTGACGATTATAAACATCTTCAATTTGTTGTTAAAAATATTCAACATGCTCCGCCGAACTCAAAGTAAACTTCTTTATCAAATCAAAAATCTTTACATTTTTTAAATTAAACTACTAGAAGTACCGTTATTTTGTTTA